AGAGTAAATAAGTAAATTTACAGAATAATTTGATGTAAAAATCCACCCTAGAGAGTAAAGAGAGGAAGAAGTGCTCACTTGGGCGGCTTCTCGACAGTGCGGTAGGTGTTGAAGGCCTGAAGCTGCTGCTGGACTCCACTCAGAGAATTGGCAAGCTTCCTGTTGTTCAGCACAATGATGGTCTGCTCGATCCATGTCAGCAAGTCTGACGCCAGCGTCTCGTACTTATCAATCAGCTTCTCTGTCTCGATAGCTTGATCCAGAACCTGCAGGAGAATGGATAAACAAGGGGAGTCGGCTCAACAAACCATGGAGCGCACGACGGGCTTCCAGCTCACCTTTCCAACTCGTTTTCCCTCGACTGCGAGCTGCTTCATCTTTGAGAAGTAGTGATAAAACGCCACGACGTATGTGATAATGGATTTCTCATCTGGATTCTCTGTGAAAACATCTAGAAAACCAAACGAGTCAGTGGCAGCACCCAGACATGCTGGAGGTCCTTCTCTACACATTCGACTCTTATTTGGTCACTTGCCTTCTGGGTCCAACAGTTTGGTGACGCCGAGCTTCTGCTCCGCCACACTGAAGGCGCTCTGGAGGTTGTGGGTCGGATTGGACCTTTTCAGTTTGTTATAGTCCACCAGATCTGGCCTGGGAAAGAAGAAGAGAAGAGGAGGTAGGACTCCTGCGTGTTCATATTTCCGAGCTGGTTTTGGTCTTGTCTTACCGGTGTTTGTGTATGAGAGCGTTGAAGGCCATTCCATCCTTCCAGCTGGTAGTGAAGTTTGTGATGTTGACATTCGGGTACCTGTGAGACATTAAAGGACAAGACGTTACTAAACGAACACACATGATTAGAGCTTCTGTCTGCTCTCCTCGTAACTTCAGCCTTACTGTTTCACTAACATGCAGCTTGCTCTGTGGATCTGGAACAATTAGAAAGTGATGATATCGACCGAAACATGTCTGAAGGAGGTCAGACTAAAGTCATTAATTGTAGCAAACAGATGTACACCTGGCTGTACGCACACACACACCAACTCCCACTGGATATTTACAGCAGCTTGATGATACTGAAGATCACACAAAGCACTTACCCAGCAGTTTTCATCTGACACCACAGAAGAAGAGCATCTTTAGCTGAGTGTGTCTCCTTCTGGTCTGCTTGGCCCGTTTCCACGATGATGTCCTGGATCTGATGAACAACAACAAGCACAGCCGAGTGATAAATAATGAAACTTAACTAATGGCTGATTTGTACAACAAAAGACTGACCAGTAGTTGGACCATTTCTGAAGAAACTGTGACTGGTGCTGATGCTGCTGCCCAACACTCCACCATAACTTTGTAACAATCTAGGCTAAGAAATGCTATGTCTACAATCTGATGTATAAATGTTGAAGCTGCTGCCAGTGGCTCGTTCTGGTCACCATGACAACCACACACCTGAGTGCGTCATCCCGACTGCCAACAAACAAAAACTCTAACTATGAAGACGGATGGCCACACTCATGAATCACTGTACCGGGATACACTGAGATATGTTCGTACAGTCGTCTGAAAGATGGGCGGCGTGCACGTTGCTGCTGCTACCAGAGCGCGGCCTCTTACCCTTTATCAGAATACTTTCTGGATAGAAAAAGGTAAAAGGCCAGGAGCATGGATAGTGGTATCTCTGCACATCTTGTCCTATCAGGACACGATTTAAGACATCAAAAATCTCGACCAGCAGCACATTTATTTATTTACATGATTACACATGCATCTGATGTCAAGATGGTGAGATCCGTCCATGAAGCACTTCCAGATAGGTCATAGTCCTGATGATGATGATGTTCAGCCGGCAGTTCTGACACTGGTAAGCCTGCACAGACGTTCTGGGGGTGGGGGGTGCGATAGACGAAGCTTTTTCCTTGGTTCACCCATGTCCCAGGAGAAATTGATAATCGGCCCGCATCCGAGGCCAAACGGGTCAGATTCAGATAAGCCACAATTGTTGATTTTCTTCAGGCAGACCGTTTGTTCGTGGGTGCTCCGTGGTTAAAGCAGTCGTCCGCCAACACAAGAGTTGAGGGTTCAACTCCACCAGCAGTCACATGCCGGAGTGTCCCTGGGCAAGACACTACACCCCTCATAGCCTCAGATGTGTGTCCCATCAGTGTATGAATGTGATCTAAAGCACTGATTAGTCTCTTTGGAATGATTTGTTCAGTTAGCTTTGTAGAGATCTAGTATAGAGCTGTATGAACGGGTGCATGAGACACAGATTGTTGTAAAGAGCTTTGAGTGTCTTCATAAGATAGAAAGATGATATATAAGTACAGTCCGTTTGTCAGCCTTGAGTCCTGCTGGTACTTTCCAGATCCAAATAGACAGGAGACAGAACTGGAAGTGTCAGAAATGAAGATGTTGAGGTTCTCCTTAGGAGAGACAAGGATGGAGAAGATCAGGAATGAGATGATCAGAGGTACAGCACAGGTTGAACAACTGGGAGATAAAGTTAGAGAGGACACACTGAGATGGTTTGGACATGTCCAGAGGAGGGACAGTGGTTTGGACATGTCCAG